GTATGTGATGCTAAGTGTTTTAGTCTCATTGTGTTTTCTTTTTAAATTTCAGTGTGTAAATTTTTGAAAATATCTTTATGTCAATGAGCCAGCAACCCAACGTCACAACAGAAACATGTTAGTATGATAGTTTAGTTTTCTTTAACATTCCCTTGCGAATCTAACCAGTATTTGCAGATTCTTTTTTTTAAATGACAAGTGAACGTTTGCCATCACTTGGCAACCATTTGTTATCATATTTTAAGATTCTCTCCTCTAAAAATACTGATCCAATTTCAAAAACACTTGAAATGAGTTATCCTTAGGAAATTCATTAGTTTTCTTTATTTTGTCAAGTTTGTCAATTAACATGGCCGTCATGGCTAAAAATAAAACATAAAAGTAAAATTCACTCGTTGTCTTATATCTTGAAATCTATATAAGATGGAGAAAATCTGTCAGTGCAGTGTAAGTCCGAAAGATGACTCTTTTTAGAGTTCTTGCTTTTACTTGACGGTTGTTGGCTAATTTACATTTTTTGGCATGTTATTTCAAAAACTATACATTAGATATATGATAGGTATAAAATAAAATATATCAGTAATACAAATAAGGTCTACGAAAATAGTGCACTCCATAATTTTGGAGTATCAAAAATTCGTTGGAAGTACTTGATAAATTGCATGCTTAAACTGGCAATTTCAAATATGTTCAAAGTTTAGATTTGTCCACTCTATATACCACTTTGCCTCACAATCTAAATAAGAAATAAATCTCATATCTAATCAAATGGGCATTTAAAAAGTCAAAATTTTAATATATATGTTCAAACTCTTTTAGGTAATTTTTCAGTAGCATCAAATAAAATAAATATATCAATTGGACCTGCTTTGATATGATAACTGCCCTTTAATTTTTACTATATAACATTTTTGTTCGCTATGGAGATTCCGTATATCGCAAAGTTACCGGAATTCCAATGGGGACTTATTTTGCACCACTAACTGCGGACCTGTTTCCCTATTGTTATGAATCCCATTTTATGTCCAAAACCAGCAAAGACCCATCGAAACAACATCTGGTACAAAAAATTTAATAATTTTAGGTATTTGGATATTATTTTGGCTCTCAATAATGACGACTTCAGTATGTACCCTTAAGCTATTTATCCTGTTGAACTTACTTTATATAAGCTAATACTAACAATGAATTATCTATATCCCTAACGGGAAGCTTAATACTAAATTAACGATAAAATAGATGATTTTTCATTTCCTATTGTTAATTATCAGTTCTTAAATGGTAACGTTCATTGGGAACCATCGTGTGGTGTTTATATATCTCAGCTTGTTCGATTCGCTCGTGTATGTAACAACGTATTTGATTTTAACGAAAGAAATCTTTGTATTACTAAAAAAATAAATACACCTGGGTTTTCACAAACTTGTCATATCTTTTATTACATTTTATCATCGCTACGAGGACATCATTCGTTAATATAAATCAACGTGCAGACATCTTATACGTTCCAGTATTTCACTGCTTTCAAGACCAATTGGGAGCCTTGGGATGTTTTCTGCTCATTGGTCGGGTTGTTGTCTTAGTATTCTTAATTTTATTTTATAAGTTATAGATATTTCATTACCTCTAGATCGTTTTCTCGGTGTTTCGTAAATTATACTATAGATTTGGTTGAAACCCCGGCCATTACCCCTCGAGACGTAGTCGAATGATGTTGTCGAGGGGTTTCAGCAAAAACTATGGTATTATTTACGATACATTGAAAAATGTTCCAACAAATATGGAAATTCTGTTTTAATCTATCGCAGCTTTTGCTGATTACCTTTTCATATTGTATATTATTATTTTTGTTTTACCTTAGAAGTCATTTTGATAAGAGTCAGTTAAAATTTACCCTTTTCGGGCATTTAAAAAACAGCCTACTTTCAAAATATTCAAAAGACTACTTACACAGCGGGTATATCAATGATACATAATTCTTCAACAGCGACTGACGTTACAGACCGAAAAATGTTGAAAGAATAAGATATTCTGAATTTTCTTTGCGAGGAAGAAATTGACGGTAGCCGAAATCATTTTTCTCTTTATCTGTAGGAAATACTGCGAAAGAGATTCAGGAGTAAACATGGAGTTCATGGACGAAAGACGACATGTTTCTGAGAATTTGAAGAGTTTAGGATTCCAAGATCAAAAGGTTAATTGAAAAAGGTTAGTTGTTTTTTTAATATTTTAATTATGATGTTCAAATATTTTTTATTTTTAAATAATGTTTCACATGAATCAATCTTTGAGTTTGAATGAATCATATCACGTTTAAATCTATCAAAAGCCAAAACTGCTGCATGAATATGCCTTAAAAAGCTTTGTTTTGGCTTCGTCAAAAGTTGTATCTACTTCTAACGGTCCAATATTATAAGTATTACTTTTTTAAGCAACTTCATTAAAGTCGAGATGTCAGCAGTATATTACAATTTGTTAACCTATACTGAGTCAGGAATATGACAGTTGTTTTCCATTCGTTATATGTGTTTGAGCTTTTGATTTTGACATTTGATAAGGGACTTTCCGATTTGAATTTTCCTTGGAGTTCAATATTTTTGTTATTTTACTATAGCTATACAATAATGAATGAACCCCGATTATAAATCTCAACTGAAAATTCAGGCTATCAACCTATCCTAACTAAACAATTTCAGTATATATATTAATATAAGCTTTAACACATTTATAGTTATTTGGCCTAGTTAGCGATTTATTTTCATTTAAAATATATATATTTTAATTTTAATTTATTTTATTTGTTGTGGGGGCGGACTTTTGTTTATTTGTATATATATGACAACAGAGTTGGCGTAAGTGGGTTCGATTTCCACCCCCACCCCCGGCATTTATTTATATCGGCTGGTGCGTATGCAAAGCGGACAGATTGGCTTAGTTGCCACGCGACGAATCTATTGTTACTGTTTAAAAAATTTAGTTGACCGCTGCTAAGTCTCCAAGTCATGATTTCTTCCTTCTTTTGTCCGAAGTTCAGACATAACAAAACTATGGTATATTCGTGAAAATTATACCATACAAAGCTATGGTCTTTTTTACGGTTATTCAGATTTACTATGATCGCATTCCCATAGACTCCACTGTACGGTTATAATTCATTTCTATGTACAATTGTCTCTTTTATTATTCTGCATTTGATGTTTGTTCAAGGTATAGCATTTCAGTACAATTTATGACGTTTCTATGAAATACAGCAACCTATATTAGAGTGTTGAACCCATTTTTTAAGTAATTGAGCTTGCTTAAATAGCTGTGAGCCGACTTTTAAGCAATATATATTATTTGTTGTACATGTAATTATGTTATCTAATATACCCTTATTATTGAGTGAAGTCCTATCTTGTACTGATTTGTATGTTTGTTCTACAATGTACCTTTCCTTGTTCCACTGATCGATATTAAAAAGCAGGAGGGGTGCGATCACAAAAAACTGTTTAAACCCTGTCACATGTGCATGTGCCTAGTCCAAGTCGGGAACTTCGTCAAAAGTTGTAGAAGGTAGATCTAAATGTCATTTTCAGGAGCAGATGTACCATATCATGATATCAACGCTTTTGATTTAAAATTTTTGAAAAAAAATTGGAACAAGCAGACCACTGCATCTCTTTTTTTTAACTCATATTGTACATAATAATCATTAGTGGATCACATGTAAATAAATATAAAAAAATAAGGAGGTGTGGTATGATGGCCAATTAAAGAACTATCCACCTGAGATCACTGTACATCCTTCAACCATGAGTGAAACCCGAACTGTAAAGTAGGTTATTAAAGTCCCGGAATGATAAAATTTGAAACTATCGTATATCGTAAAGTTTTTGCATGTGTAAAATTTTCGCTTTTTTCACCGTGGACATTTCAATGCAAAAATATACGATACGCGAACAGTTCGCTTTTCATTTAATAGCATTTTACAAGGACGTAAATCGCGAATTATAAACACAACGAACATTTATTTGTCCAATCAAATCCATACGAGAAAAAAATCCCATATACTGTATTAAAAAATGTCTGCAATTAACAGAAACTTTAGGTCAAGCAGTCTAAAACATACGCCATGCATTGATGAGTGAAAAAGTATTTCTTTATGTCCAGTCAGAGAATAGCTAAGTAAGGATATTTTTGTTCAGAACAGTCCAATGAGGCCTACAACTGAAGGTAATGGAACATTGCTTGTATTCCAAGTATTTTACGAGTGTTCATTTTTATAAATCTGTATGAAGTTGCAAATATAATTCCCGAAGATAAATGAATATATAAAAAAATGAATACATGCATTGGTACGAAAGGTGTATCGTGATAGATACACATTTAATTTCTCTTACTTTTGATAAAAAGATGGTTTTAAGGGAGAGAGCAGGTTCATTCCTTTGTTAACCTTATTTAACTAGACGATGTGGTAATTGCTGTTTGACAATGACAAAACTCAAGATACCAAATGACTAATGTCAAGAAGTAAAGGTCACCGTACATGCTTCAAAAATGAGCAAATATCATTCTGTATAGTAAGTTATATATGTTCTGTATAACTTATATGTAATGTCAAATACGAAAATGTGTAAGTTCTACGAAAAAAATACTCTGTAAAAGACAGTTCACGAATCAATGCCATACATTACAAAGCTGTGGTATGGGGTAATCTAAAAAATAAACCTATACTTTCTCTTAATTCAATGATATATAGTGAAATTCAATTTCATTTGAAATGTCAAAATAAATTGTTACGCTATCGTATGAATGATACACGCTATTTCCAAATTAAAACAATATATTAATCAATCCATGATATAAAATATAATGAAGATACTGCATTAACGCATAGACGAATTCCTGGAAGTCATCAATGTAAAAATAATATGTACTTTTAAAATGTGTTATTTTGTTCATAGCCTTGTTATTTTGATTTGTTATTTATTTTATTATTACTAATACTCGATTTTCAGAATGACCACATACAGTTTTGCCACTGTCATTGTTGCCTTTGTAATCAGTGCTTATGGGCATGATTGCACAAAATACAGCCTGACACCATCAGATCAGTCTCTTATTGATATGATGAAGCATTACTTGCATACCTCCCGGAAAGCGGACTGTCCTGTAACACCTTCGCAACAGGGTAAGTATTTGTTGTTAGTACAAATGCATGTACATCATTTAATATAACTTTGTGGTCGCATGAATTGATAATCTATTTGTAAATTAATGCGATAGCAGATAACCAATGATTAAATCTCGTAAAATTATATAAAAAGATACAAATAAAAAAAACAAACAAAAACAGCGAACTCCATGGCAAATTCTAAAAGGGAAGTCCAAAAAAATTGACAAAATCAAACATTAATAATCAACGGCCATATCCGTGAAAACAGAGATTCGCAGAACTGCACAAGGAGAAAACCGCATGTGTTGACAAGGTAAGAATCTTCTGTTATGCATGCATCAACCGCCATGCAAATTAACACTTTGTGACAATGTCATAATCCGTAATTCATAATAGGACACTATCGATAAAGTTACAGTTCAGACGAGCATACTGGTATGTCAAGACCTAAGACCGCAAAAACATTAAATATTTTTTCTAATGAAATTGTTGGGTGTGATTATATAACGAATTTGTTTTGTTTTTTTTTTAAATTTCTATAATTTTTTATGGAAAAAATGAGTATTTGAGTGATTATCTATATCAACACCAAAAGGTTCTTTACAGACTGTATTTGCATTAAATCATAATTGTAAACGATAGATAGCCTGTGACAAACACGTTAAAGGTAGGCCATCCAGTATCTTCAGCAACAAATTGGATACGACGGATGAAGCTTTCTTGTCATTCATCTATAATACGGTTTCATACAGTAAATTAACGATTTGCTTTGTATATCTAAGATATTGGTGTGACATATGTCAGATGGGGGAAGAAAACTTGTCCTGCAAATTCGGACATTGTGTATACAGGTATGTTTTTGCATAGTTATTATCATTTTAAATAAATTAGAGTCTGACATGTTCCTACAGATGGATGAGAGCGCTATAAATTAAAAGACAGTTTAACTCGCTTACTATTGTTTTTTCTTTTTCTTTTTTCTTTTTGTATTTCCTATCATGATTTCCTTGATAGAGTGTTGCTGCTCACAAGAAAGCTATTAAACCAAAGGTTCCAAGTGGTGAATTTGAAATCATCCCTTTGTAAGTTTTACAAACGGCATCGCAAGTTGGTTGACCATAATGAAATATCCGTTTCACATGTGATAGCGGATATGTTCCTCATGTCGTTAGTACAATCCCGTCCCCTTTTCCCGAAAGTGATCTGCCAATTTAAACTTATTACCGGGTTTGTACTAACATGAACAACACGACGGGTGCCACATGTGGAACAGAATCGCCCCTCCCCTTCCGGAGCACCTGAGATCACCCCCAGTTTTTGGTGGGGTTCGTGTTGCTCAACCTTTATTGTGTATTATTGTTGTCTGTCGGTCTTTTTCGTTTTTAGCCATGGCGTTGTCAGTTTATTTTCGAAAATATGAGTTTGAATGTATCTTTGGTATCTTTCGCCTCTCTTTAACGTTTGTTTTTTTGTTTTTTTGTTTTTTTGTTTTATAAATATATAATTAATATATAATTATGTGCTTGTGAATTATCTTTTTTACCTATATATATTCATGTACATTTAAGATATATCAAAAATCTTGTTATGTTTTATCTTATTAGGTTGCTGTCACATTAAAACTTACATCAAGTTTTGTAACACAAATAATCTACTCCCCCTAGAGTAGGTTTGGTATTCGTTCAAACATAACTTTATTGTATCTGTTTGTTTCAAGTTTTAATTAAATCTAAAGATATCACATAGCTAGGATCTGGATAGGGTTAAGTTATTAAAAGAAATATTTTCAAAATAAAACATTTGCTAATGTTTGCGTAACAATCCATTACACATATTTAAAGTCCAACTTACTGTCTAAACTACTGGCATGTTAATACCTAAAATTGGTTTGCGATATCTTTGTCATTGTTACGTACAAATAGATAATCTGAACAATAACATTTGTAATAATTCTTAAACTTTTTCAGGACAGGCTGGAGGTAATTATTATACTAACAAAGGAGGAGGTTCAAACTACCTCTGTTTACCCAGTGATCCAGAAAATGGTAAATCATACTCCTATGATAATGATGGACTATATGGTGCCGAGTACGAGATAAATTCCAGCTCTAAACCATCCGGTTTACCTACTAGTTTGTATGATAAAGAGGTCCCATGTTCCGTGTGCAGGCAAAAAGGGAAAGTTTCTGTTTTAATGATAGCAGGTAGTTTTGTTATCAACATTTATTTTGTTCATTAACTTGAAAAGTGTAATAATTTTGTTCTAAAATAAATGAAACATCATTAACCTAGATCGTTACATGATATTGTTATATGATATTGTTCATTATAATGTCCAACATAAATTAATCTTGAAAGCAACGGCTTTAAATAATGCTGTGTTCTGTATTATCACAATCATTTATTTGAAGTAAAAAATAAATCAATTTGTTTTAATATAGAAATTGCATATTTTTATATTGTGACTTTTTTTATTAAGGAAGGAAGTCTTGTTACAAAGGATGGCAATCCGAGTACAATGGGTTTTTAATGAGTGAATCTAAAAATCATAACAATAAAGACTTTATCTGTATGGACGGCGACGCGAAACCATTGGACAATCGATCATCCAACGAAAATGGTGCTTTGATTTATCCTATCAGAGCAAAATGTGGAAGTTTGAGATGTCCCCCATACAAAGATAATACTGAAGTGCTTTGTACCGTTTGTACAAAATAAAAAAATATATATATAATGTTCTCGTTTGTTCACTTATTTCACAGTTTACTATACATCAAACGTAAATAACAGGATTCTAAATTGTATGATGTACGTTTGTGTTTGCCTGTTTGTTGATATTGAGGATAAGTCATGATTGTTCTGTTATTCTGGTTTTTATTCGGTAATCCCGGACTAGCATATAAAACTGTATTTATTATTGTTTAGATTTTTCCCTTGGGTATGTCATGATGTAAACATAAATATCCCAATTTTACAATAATGGATTCAATATCTCACATTTGTTATGTTTTAACGTTATCTATTCACAGGTATTCATACTTAATCCTGAAAATAACACTTTATACATCTCATGCGTCCGAAACGCTTTATGGGTTAACCTTCATCAGGAACGCTCAAACCCAGGTATTTGAAAGCCAGGGACGTATAAATACAAAGAAGCGTTAGGAGCTCTACGACTAAAAGATACCTAAAAGATGGCTTAATTCGGCTAATGTCAACAAGTTTGAGGCAGTTTAAAACTAAGTTTTTTTCTGTAATTACTTTATTTATCAACGGAGAATTTAAGAAAAAAAAACTGGCTTTAAATCATGTCAGTACACAAGCTGATGAAGCCTTCGGGGACTAACATTTAACAAGCAGTGGTGTCGACCCAGTTCTAGATATTGAACTAAACCATAATATTTATATCTGAACAGTGAACTATTAGATTGTTCTAAAAGAGGGACGAATGATACCAGAGGGACAGTCAAACTCACAGATCGAAAAAAAAACTGACAAGGCCATGGCCAAAAAAAACATAAAAAGACAAACAGACAAATAATAGTACAGATGACACAACATAGAAAACTAAAGACTTTGTTTCTTCTAATCTTCTTTTAAGAGGTTATTATGCTCCCCTATAAACATTCGGTACCATATAATAAGCGCTTAGTCGTCCGTTTGTCCCTTTCGTCGAAGTGTCATAAAGAACCGGTTTTGATAACTTGAGTATACCTTGCTTGTTTTAAATGAACCTTAAATAGATAGAAGATATAGGGAAGAAAAAGAAGTCTATTGCTGTTTGGGTCAATAGGTCAAGGTTATTACGAAAATAGAATTGTGGTTGGAAATCTCTAAATGGTAACTTTTGCTTGAATGGAATGAAACTCATACAGATGGAAGATAAAGGAAGTAAAAAAGAAGCTTACTGATTTTGTTTGGTGATTGGTCAAAGATAAAGGTCACTGTTACTTAATATAAAAAAAATTGGAAAAGGGTTTGCGCATGGCAATTTGATTTTCTCTTGCATTATTTGGAATTAAACTAACACAGACGGAAGCTGTACGGAATGGAAAGCAGCCTATTGATTTTTAGATCAACACATTTCAAAGGTCAAGGTCACTGTTACTATAATAAAAAAAGTTGATTTCGGGATGCTATTTAGGTGTTATACCACTATTGTTTTCCCTTATTAGTCTTTGTTAAATTTGCACTTTTCAAATATTGTGCAGAATTTATCTTTGTTTCAAATAAAGAAATACTTGGCAAGATTTAAGTTTTATCCTGTCCAGTACTTCAGACAAAATTTCACATAACATTTCATTGCATATAAGATAATAACCATCACTGGAAGTTAACCAATCAAATTTTCACCCCTTTTTGTCCTGTGTACAAGCTTTAGTAACCATGTTTTCTCAAGTTTCCAAAATATTATATAGAAACACCTAATAAAGAATGGTGCTTTGAAACACCCAAGATATATGTTTATTACTCAGAATTTTTTTACTGCAATGAAATGTAGGATTAATTTCCTACAACTGTCAAATTCAAGGGAATATTTTTTTCGACCCCTTTTCGTTTGCAACCGGATGTGACGTACTATGATTTGGTGGTATCACACCTCAAACTATGAATTGTAACAATATGCATACAGGTGAGAGCTTTATTTTGCAATGTCAGATTTTTACTTGTTTGTCATATGAAATTGTAAACCTATCATAGATACCAGACCTAAAATTTTGCCCGCCAGAGACGTGTTCCGTCTACAAAACACTTATCAGTGACACTTGAATCAAAAAAGTAAAAAATGCCACATAGAGTTCGAAGTTGAAGCATTGATGAGCCTAAATTCCGAAAGGTTTTTCCAAGCACAGCTTAGGTAATCTATTCCTGGGATATAAAATTCCTTGTTATGTCAACAAATTCAAAGTTTTGTAAACAGTTGATTTATAATTATGACCATACCAATGATAATTCATGTCAATAAAGAAGTGCTGACTACTGGGGAGGCGATACCTCATCTTTGAGTATGTTTTGATATAAAGATGTATCCTCCTCTTTAATTTTCAGTGATATTTTAGAAATTTAAATCGAAGGATGTCTCGTAACCTTATAAAGGGATAAATTCCAGCCTTTCTTATTCTTAATATCTGTCGTCTGGTGTTAGCTGTTAACTTTGAAAAATCAATGGACAGAAAATGGGCGATATCCTTTGTAAAATTTTGCATATAATGTTATACAACACTTGGATTCTAATTGAAATACAAAATTATTGAATAAAAATTCTTCAAATAGTGCACGTTTGGAAAATTATCTTTAAATTTTTCAATCATTCAAAACCAGTCGCAAGATTTTTCTTACAAATCGAAATATTGTTACTTAATGCCAGAATATATTCATTTGATAGTTTAAAACAATCTAAATAGGGCCATAGACTTTTTTTTTGGTGCATTCATTATTCAAAGATGCTCATGGTGAAAAATACATCAAAACGTCATTAGAAATAAGCATGATTGTAGGGCTGTAAAAGAGGGACGAAAGATACCAGAGGGACAGTCAAACTCATAGATCGAAAACAAACTGACAACGCCTTGGCCAAAAAATATAAAAGACAAACAGACAAATAATAGTACAGAAGACACAACATATAAAACTAAGGACTAAGCAACACTAACCCCAGCAAAAACTGGGGATGATCTCAGGTGCTCCGGAAGGGTAAGCAGATCCTGCTCCACATGTGGCACCCGTCGTGTTGCTTATGTTATTACAAATCCGGTAAAGATTCTAATTCGGTAGGTCACATTTGTGAAAAGGGAAGGGTATTGTAGTTACGACATAAGGAACATATCCGATATCATCTGTGAAACGGTTATTCCATAACGGTCAACCAACTCGTGATGGCGTCCGTAAAATTTACGAAGGGATGATTTCAACTTCACCATTTGGAACTCTTGGTTTAATAGCTTCCTTGTGAGCAGCAATCCTCTATCAAGGAAATCAAGATAGGAAATACAATTCCGGGAATATCGTTTCCATTGGGAGATATATACTCCGTATGCAGGCGCTGCTGGAATGTAAAGCATTTAGCTATTTTTATTCAGTTTTTACACTACGAGCGTAGAAACAAAATTGGAAATGCATTAAAAACTAGTTCATATGATTTTTAACATCAAATAATTACATTACATGTATGTTTCATTAGAATAAACCGTAATTTTGATTGGCTGACAACAATCGTGAGGCACTCCATTGCCACATTATATTTCCGTATAAAATACAACAGCATTGACTGCACGTGATATCCGACAGATGAAAAGCTTGATATAACTCTGTATTGAATTTTTGTGGTATAAAAATGTAATTATAAGAAATAAATGCATATTTTTTTATTTTATAGGGTTGTAAAAACGTTGATCTTGCGCACATGTTTAGAATGAAGCGAATACGCGCTTCGGTTAACGCTTTTACACCCCAATAAAAATATTAAAAGAAGCGTTCGATACTTGATCAAACGGGTTTGTATTCATTAAAAACATATAAATTTGTCAGAAAAATCTATGCATTGGTTTTGGATATGTGGTCATATATATATATATATATATATATATATATATATATATATATATATATATATTACATGCATTCAAATGTTCATCTCAATAAAGAATATTTTAGAAATTAAAAGAAGTCATTGCATACTTGTTTGGATCCTCATTTTTAGTTTAACATGCTGATGTTGTTGACAACTTCTTACAAAAAAAAGGGTAAAATCACTCATTTATACTGTAACTTGACCTTAGAATAACTCTGAAATCACAATGCAAATTTGAAATGCAAAAAACAAATCTGTAAGTTTCTGCTTAAATCAATAAATGTCATCGAAAAATGAAGACGTCTTGCTATAAATAAAAAATAATAGTAACGTATATGTGCAGTACCGTCCATGTAAATATATAGCTGATTTTTAGTCTTTGTAAAATGTATAATATTTAGTAAAAATTCAAAGAGAATATTCACTTACTGTTGACCTCTGTTGTCTATCCTCAATGCAGATATTCAGCAAACATATATATTCGATAGATAACCGTGTAATTATTACAAAAACAATGAGATTTTTCTAGTTGACATACTTTTTGAATTATTTTGAACTATGCAATGTTCAATACATATTGTTACTGATGTCATTGTAGTTGGAAATTTTTTTACTTTTTTGTTATTTGATGTTTGTAATTGTATATGCTAGTAACAACTCCTAAATACATTTTAGAATGGTTGCAAAAGTTTTGGCCTAGTTACAGACTTTACGCTTGTTATGAGGGATGGAGAGTCATTTGTTTAATTGCATGTATGGTCAATTAAAAGAAATAACTTTAAAAAAACATAACGCTATACTTCAGATTTCAGTTGTTTTGGGGTTTTTTTTGCATGTTTTTTTTTTTTTTTTTTTTTTCATTGGAAATGAATGCCTTTGATTACTTGTGTAACACCTGGTGAAACGGTTAGCATATGTCTTTTCATAATAGGTGCATGGTGGCCGAAAAATGTAACAAATAGTTGTAAGCTTTTCCCCCGTGATGTGACTAAATAATCAAATCAGTGTGTAAAGGCGATTTTTATTGGTGAAAATTAGTATAACATTGTATGGTTAATCTATCAGGTCTATATATATGTACATATATATGTTGTGTACAAGTTATCATTTTGTAAAAATTATTATCTTCACAAAAAATTGTGTAAATTATAATTTGTATCTTG